GTATATATATATATATATATATATATACACACACACACACATTATAAAAATATCCTGTGACATAGTTATCTGTAATTTGGGTAGGAATTTATTTGATGAACTAGGTACGTGTAATTAACTGCAATGATAAACTGACTTTGCACATTCACCATTGAGAAAAGTAAAATGTTAAACCCACCCTTTATTTTTTTTGTAAATCATCAATTCCCCTCTTTAAACTCCTGTGAAGTGCTGGCCACCACTGCTGCTGATGGTAGCTCATTCGATAAGCCATCACCCTATTAAAAAACAAAACTGTCATAACTGGAGCCTAGCCTGTGTTTTCCAGGTCTTTCTCATTCCATTATATTCAGAATGTAACATAAGAAAATCACAGGCCTTAATCCTGTTGCTCCCCTTGATAATCTTGTAAACTTCAGTAGCATCATTTCTTACCCTTCTTAATTTAAATTAAGATATCTTAACCTGTACCTACAAAATATCCCTTCCATTTTCCGAATCATCCTGGTAACCCTCCTCTGAACCTCTTCTAATAATTCAATATCTTTTTTTTGGTAAAAGGACCAAAATACTACAAAGTATCCCAAGTGAGATCTGACTATCTGAGATCGGTCTGTCTGGTGTAAGTGTAACCATATCCAATTGTATAATGCCTAAACTGGTGCACTATGATATATTAGGATGTTACTCGTAATCTGTTTGGTGATAAGTGTAAACATATCCAGGTCTATATAACTAACCTGTTGCACTACGATATATTAGAAACCTTATGATATCTCACAATCTGACTGGTGATAAGTTGAACATGTAGAAATATATAATGCCTAACCTGGTGCATTATGATATATTAGTAATATTACGATTAATATTCTTTGGCTATGTCCAGTTCAGTTACAAAGTGACTGTAATGAAGATTATTTAGTATGCTCAGTTCAGTTACAAAGTGACTATAATTAAGATTTTTTTGTCAATATCCAGTTGAATTATAAATAATGGTGATGAGGATTTTTGGGTAAAATATTACCAGTTTTTGTTCTCAAACACTTACTAAAATGTCTGAGCAAAGTAAATATTATCTTCAGGTCTGCCACAGCTCCAGTATAGAATTTTATATATAGCAATATTTTTGATAGTTGTAAGATATGGCATCATTGATTCCTGTTCTTCAAGAAAAGCCCACATAGCCTTTGAATTGAACTAAATTAATTTAAAGCATATCTCAAATTCAGCTTATCTAGTGTCCAAGCAAGTGTAAGTTTTAAACTGCTGAAGTCTTTACTAGTGTAAAATAAATGAAAAATTGACATACAAATTTTGATATCTGTTATAGTTTCCTTTTTTTTTATCATTATTTACAAGTTATATTTATATTAATGATTTATTAATATTATTTTGAATATCACAAATAGACATTTTGAAAATAGTAACCAACAGATCATATGGATATTTATGAAAAAGTATGTAACTGTGTTAAATGTTTTTATCACCCAGGTAAGTTTTCACTTTTACACATCATGTAAAAAATATAAAAGCATTGAACTATTTTCACAAATGTTCAACCCATTGTAGAGAATTTAAATATTGCCTTACTTACACATGTTTTCATGAGTTGTTTTTATTGATAATTTAAAGGCATTGGTCACTTTTTACAGAATGTTGTGGGTACCACAAGTTTTTGTAATTTTCTTTTTAACAGATTCTTCTTAGTGTTTTCGAGATAGTTTCAATTTTAAGAAAATCCAGGAGGTGGATTCAACTGTATCACCTCACTTTAAGATCTCACGCATACATTTGTTTTCACTTCTCTGTGACAAATATGCCACTACCTAGCAGAGCTCGTGTCTATGCTGATGTAAATTCCCACAAACCAAGAGATTACTGGGACTATGAATCACATGTTGTGGAATGGGGGTAAGTCACCTATAGTGTCATAGTTTTAACTACATTTATTGTAGTCTTGTATAATTAATTATCAAAAGTCAAATTAGGAAGTTTATAATTTATTATAAAAATATCATAGACTGTTTTACCACAGTTTGATGTTTTATACCAGCTTACCTTCAACAGGTATCCGTTGTGTATCTAGCTTTTCAGCAAAATAATTTGATACTTAATTACTGGTTACAAATTTATATACTCAAATGTGCATCCAGTAATGATGTAATTGTTATGCAGGCTAAGCTGTCTGGATTTTTACCATCTTTTTTAATATGTGTATTTATGTTTTATTTTAAGCTAGTCAAAATTTCATTACTCAATTAATACTTGAAACTGTTAGTACTTTTTGTAACTTCATTGTTACAGGATTGAGGAAAATAAAGACAATTGTACATTTCACAAATATTTATCACAACCATGGCTGTGATAGAAAACGTGGAATCTATACACTGAATAATTCAGAAGCTGTCATGAGAATGAGCTAGAATTATATGTAAATTAGTAAACTGAAACCTTCTCTTTTGGTTATAAATACTATGACACAAGCATCAAACATTTTTTGAAAGATGGTGTGTGTGAGTCTGAGTTTCTGGTATATATGTCTGTAACAAGGTGTTTGAAGGCTGTACATTTAGATCATGTCTCAGCAATATGTATATACCTTTGTAATTTCTACTGAAACTCGGGAGCTGGAATAGGGGTAGAAAGACTGTTTAAGTAGGCTATTCAGAGTGAACAAGTGTCATGTGATACATAGAAGTGAAGATTGAGAATTTATTTAAATTTTGAATGTAACTCTTAAAAAAAAAGTCATGACATACCCATTTTTACCTACCTGTTTTCAGAGGGTTAAATAGTTAATGTAGAGAAGTAATACTCTCCTTTAAATAAGCAGCACAATTGTAAGCTGTGCTTGTCTGAAGAGTCTTTTTTTTTTAAGTGATATGTGTGTGTAAAAAGTATATTCCCTTAAGGAAACAGTCTTGAGTACTCGTAAGGTTAAGCATTTCTCTGCTTTAACATAATTTATATAAAAATTTAAAAATGTTTTCCAGGAATCAAGACGACTATCAACTTGTAAGAAAGTTAGGTAGGGGAAAATACAGTGAAGTGTTTGAAGCAGTTAACATAACAAATAATGAAAAATGTGTGGTAAAGATTCTCAAGGTAAGTTTTGTAAAAGTGATGCAAATATTTTTCACCTACATTTGATAATTGTGGCTATTACAGTTGGTTATACATTGTAATAAGTTAGTAACTCCTATTTTGAGATATGACTTATATGGGTTGTTAGTTATTGACTTCACATATGAAAAATAAAACCTGATTTCTGCCATCTATCTATCTTTGTTCCTCTCTTTTGTTGTATGATATAGTTTTCACTATGGAGATGTTGCGAAAAGAAAATATGTAGAAATACTAAGATAGTAACCTATGCTAGTGGAGGTCATATAGTTGAAATAGAAATAGAATATTTAGTGATAGTAACATAGGCTTGTAAACCAGATATAGTTACCACAACATAGTTGGAATAGAAATAGAATATTTAGTGATAGTAACATAGGCTTGTAAACCAGATATAGTTACCACAAGATAGTTGGAGTAGAAATAGAATATTTAGTGATAGTAACATAGGCTTGTAAACCAGATATAGTTACCACTGGATAGTTGGAATAGAAATAGAATATTTAGTGATACTAACCTATGCTTGTAAACCAGATATAGTTACCACAAGATAGTTGGAATAGAAATAGAATATTTAGTGATACTAACCTATGCTTGTAAACCAGATATAGTTACCACTGGATAGTTGGAATAGAAATAGAATATTTAGTGATACTAACCTATGCTTGTAAACCAGATATAGTTACAAGATAGGTGGAATAGAAATAGAATATTTAGTGATAGTAACATAGGCTTGTAAACCAGATATAGTTATAACTAGATAGTTGGAATTGAAATAGAATACTTAGTGATAATAACCTACGCTTGTAAACCAGATATAGTAGTTACCACTAGACAGTTGGAATAGAAGTAGAATATTTAGTGATACTAACCTATGCTTGTAAACCAGATGTAGTTACAAGACAGGTGGAATAGAAATAGAATATTTAGTGATAGTAACATAGGCTTGTAAACCAGATATAGTTATAACTAGATAGTTGGAATAGAAATAGAATATTTAGTGATACTAACCTATACTTGATCTGGTATACTTTACTGTTTTGTAATGATTCTACTTGGTCTGGTATACTTTACTGTTTTGTAATGATTCTACTTGGTCTGGTATACTTTACTGTTTTGTAATGATTCTACTTGATCTGGTAGATTTTACTGTTTTGTAATGATTCTACGTGATCTGGTAGATTTTACTGTTTTGTAATGATTCTACTTGATCTGGTAGATTTTACTGTTTTGTAATGATTCTACGTGATCTGGTATATTTTACTGTTTTATAATGAT